ATTCTTTGAAATTCATCTATGCCCTGTGACTCAAGGGTGCTCGTGGCCGTGTAGTTAAGTGGTTAACGTGTCAAGCTCCCATCCTGCACTGTCACGGTTTGCCTCCAGCTGAGAGTGTTGATAATACCGATGCGAGGTCGAGACTGCAGTCCACCAAATTGAGAACAAATTTTGGGAAAGCAAGGCTATGTGAAATTTAATGGTAACATCAGCTTAACTAATATCATTGTAGGAAAATTCTACTACCATCCTTCATCACCTTAGACGAAATACGGTGAATACATCTCATATTACTGATTCATTGGTAGTCTCGAACCTCTACTCTAATAATAAGTTAAGTTACGTAGTAGATTGCTATTAAAAATATACATTTGCATCTTTGGCACTTCCACCAAAAAATATGATATAGCAGAGGCCTGACCTTCAAACAAATTCCCTTATGCGCTGTAACTCAAGTTCATCCGTGGCAATGCTGCCGAGTGATTAGCGTGTCAAGCCCTCTCCTGCACTCTCGCGGTTCGACTCCAGATAAGAATGTTGATAAGATCGATGCGAGGTCGAAACTGCAGTCCACCCTTATAAAGATTCATCGGAATTAGGGGACGGATGCACCGAGGACTTCCACATTCAAATTTATAGTCGCAGCCGCAAAGCGGTCCTCCTTTGATTTCCGAATGCCTTATACCTACTAGTTAAGAATATTGTTAATATAATGTTAAAAGATTCAGAATAGTACTTAGATGTAATTTTCATGATAGGCTAATTTTCTTAGATAATTATAGCTGTAGATTGTAGTATTGAGCTCTCCTTTAATGAAGGAGTAACTTTGAGTTTAAAACTCATGGAAAACCAGTCTACTGATGCAATCGTTGAAACAACTAATATAAGAGGGATTTCTATAAGGCACGAAGAATAACATAGAAATAGATTTGTTCAGTCAATTTCGATCAGTCAATTATGTGATGTAAATTCTTTTGTAAGTATAAGCTTTAACTATTTAATACGTTTATAGAAAAGGGTGGCGCATTGCTTAGAGAAGTTCATGTAAGCAAAAATGAGTTATCAGAAGTGTTATCAAATAATTCCACTAAAGGTTTTAAGACCTCATTTTGGAACGTGTGTTTATAGCAGTGAAATGGATAAATAGGAAATAATTCACTTTTTTTAAGATAAAAGCGTTGGAGCATCTAGTCTTATTAGCAAGATCGAATTTACCTTGAATATTAACTTTGATGATGGCCTAACTTCCTTTTTATTTGTAAAAAGAGTAAAAGGGAAGCCTAAGAAAGATTGCTTAGGAGCTGACTGCTGGACAGTGAGAAGACTTTTGATCATATCTAATAAATTGATACCGAGCTTTCCTTATAGGATGCCTCATTAGGATAAAAAACTGGATGAAAAAAATAAATAGGGTTCCAGACACTATCTTGGCTAAATATTTTGGTGTATTTTTCCGCAAATGACACTTCGACTCTGATGACGTCTAAAATAGGATAGGCAAAAGCTCAGTACGGATTTATCGAAGCCACCGGACAATGAACTGAGACCATATTTGCTAAGTTCAACAGTCATAACTCCAAGGCAATCATACTTAGCTTTCTAGTTAGACTAATTGACGAAGCCCTCAAACTGCCTTGATAAAAGAACTAAAATGTACGAAAATATAAATCCATTAAGGGACTCTTCGAAACCTGGCTTATTTCATATTTATCTATTTCTTGTCCTAAATCAGAATTATGTGGCATTAAATATTAGGGTTTTCTATGAGATATTGAGGGAAGAAATATGACCAAAAAAGGAACAGAATAGTGGGGATACTCGCGACTCTACAAACGAATAAGCAGTCCTTTAGACGAATAAAAGATGAGCGATAATGTCACTGGACAGGAAAAAAAATACCGAGGTGTAAAATTTACATTGAGACAGGATCACGTATCATGTATCGAAGGATATGCAGTAGAACAGGCGGATTGATGGATGGACAATAAATTCACTAATACTAAAGGATGCCTTCGGATTACTAAAGGCATAAAAGAAGGGAAACCACTAAGGCCAATAGGCAGCATCTAGTATGGAGCAACACACAACTTGGCTAAGTTCATATGTCAGAAACTCAGGGAGGTAGACAGATTATTAAACGGTCCTGTTAGAGATTTTAGACCGAGAGGGAAGAGGAGCAAGATGAAGTTTTTAGCATGACTAATCAATTTTACAATAAGGACTACTTATTTCACATTTAACGGCAAATATTTTGACTCTTTATGGGATCGCCACTTTCCCCTCTTTTGACAAACGTATACATGGCCAAATTAGAAGAGGACTTCAAGACGTCACCACTGCAACCAAAAGTGATCATGCGATAGCTGAATTACGACTTCACACTTCGGTGACATTGGAGGATCTTCTGAAGATTGATAAAAGAATTAAATTCAAAATGGAAGTTAAAGAAAAAGAGTGGTCGTGGTAAAAGGGCAGGTGTGATGAGGCCACACTAAACTCGCCAAAAAAGAGGAGCACATATATAATGGAGTCAAAAATAAATAAGTTAGAAGTAGTGATAGGGCAGGAATGAGTTAGAGTAGGGAGTCCTTGTGTGCCTTGACAGAAAAAGGAGGGATATCACAACCGTTCGGCAAAACGCTATCCAAGGGCCTGACTTGAATTGCCGCTCTGACGAGTCGTATTTTGGTGCCGAGGTCGGCAAGACTCGAAATGCCCGCGAACCGTCTAGACATATACCAAGTCGATTGTCCAATGCTGGGAATTATGATAATTACTATTGCAGAGGACTTGGGATGTGCGTCATACGAGGCTGCCCTGGCAACAAGCCCAAGTTGCGTAAACGAAGTCAGAATATTTCTATACATCGAAAGGAGACTGTCCTTAAAACAAAGGCCACAACATTATGGCTTTCATATCTAGAGAGGTTAATTTGTTTAAAAGTTCAAAGGCTTGTAGTAAAAAAAGTAGACTGATTTCCTCATTCTGATGGTTTATCCATTAACAGAAATCTATGCTCTTTTCCTATATGGCACTTTTAAGATCTTAACGGCTTATCAATACCAACTATATTAATATTCCCTTCCGGTCAGTATAAGCGGCTTTGAAAAAAAACATTGAGTTAATAATTTACATGTACTTCAACTTGTGCATTTTTATTATCACAAGCTTGTGCAGATAAGTTTTCATATAAAAAGCTATTACAAAATCTAAACAAAGTTTATGTGCTTAATATAGTAAATCATTACTGATATGCTAGCCTGTTAAAATAATTGTTGAACACTGTTACGACAACTCAAAAGAAAACCTCGTGCGTGAATATGCACAGCCCCAGATATCACAGCATATTTTTCATTGTTGCTATTAGATACGGCATGATCGCGAAAACAAATTGCTCCGATTGTGAATATCTATATAATGATTTTGGATGAAATCTGGCTTTATGGAAAATTAGGACACAAGCCACTGAAAGAATAGTAAATTTGTAATAAAATGGAGTTGAAAAGTTGTATAAACTACAAAGCTAAAATAATATGCCAGATCATAAATTATTGGATCTTTTTGCAGGAAAAGAACTAAGAGAAAATATGCTTCGCTTTTGAGCTAAGGCTAGTATACTTTAAAAAAACCAGTCATACAGGTTTGGAAAATTCTGCATTCCAACTACTTCGCTTTTTACGAAGCTTTCAGTTTGAAAAATTACTTATTTGAAAGTGTTTCTGTGTATAAAGTGACAAAAATAAAACCGAGATATCTCGTATTTCGAAATGCCGAAAATCATATCACCATCAAATTTGAAAAATACGTATCTCTGAAGCACATACGTATTTATTTGAATCCGGTAGGGTCTGGCCAGTATCTCATGTGTGGTTCTTCATCCTCTGTTAGAAACGACAATGTGTTCCTTCGATTACTGTTATCGAACAGCAATGGTTCATGTCTTGAACTTAATCCACCAATGTCACCAACGGGATTATCCAAGCATGATTGTGGTTCCGACATTTGGCGTTGATGGGGGTGATTAGGAGTAGTCTGTAAACCATTCTGCATATCGTGTTGCTGCATTCGAAACTGTATCCGCTGCTGATAGTGATACTGAATTTGATGTAATAGGCTTTGCTCATGCACCAGTTGAGTCAACTGGGGCGAGTGAACACTTTCATCAAGGTTTAGTATGTCACCTAAAGATTCAAGATAGCCTGTAGCCGAATCCCTCCTGTCATGCTCATTTAAATCAGTATATGAGTAATTCTCTCGCATGGTTTGCATTCCGGCTACCTGAGGGTATGGATTAGGTAGTATTGAGATAGTATCATCAGTGTCTTGTGTTGACTGAGAAAAAGATAGTGCATTTACAACTCTTTCTAAGGCATAGGAGGTGTTGGTGTTTTGGGATGCATAGGGCCAGTGAGGCCAAACATAGCCTAGAGAGGCTGACTCTGAATTTCGTTGCAAAATAGCGTTTGGCGTTGTTTCAATTGTCTCGTTAGTCGTAGCAGCCGTGAGAGTCCTCTCAATGCAGCCCATTCCCTCAAGTAGAGATGAGTTTATTACATTATTAGTGCGGATGCCCTGCGATAAGTTGCTACTGCTAAAATCAGTTCTTCCGCTGTGGCCGTTTCCACTACCATTATAACTGTGTACACTGGCCACTGTTTTATTTTCGAAATATGTGGGTCTTGGAAGCGAGGATGACATGTCCGATAAGCTGCTGATTGCATCACTTGCCGACTTTCCAGAGGTCAGAATTGATGTTGATGCAGTGGATACTGGATTATAGGCTGTGCCAAAGAGATCCGAGCCAGCGACTCTGTTAAGACAGGAAATTTGAATAGATTCTGATGCCATCGGCTTCAGCGAATGGTCAGCCAATGCGACTCTTGGAGACAGCATGCTGGTCCTACTGTCACTACTCACATAGGCAGGGTTTGTTAGCATCATGAGTGAAGACAGGCCAGTCAGGTGGCCTTGAGTTGATGAGCTGAGAGATGCCTCTCCTGGACCATTGTTGCTAGTCTCCTCGTTGCATTGTAGTGGCTGAAAAAGGAGGCTAGCCCAAGAATTGATTGTCGTCGCAGTGGTATCAGGACTAGCAGTTGTCATTGGCATTTCCCTAGAAAGTGTCGGAATGGCGGCTTCAAACAGACTCGATGTAGCGTGTCTGAGCGAAAGTGGTTGCTGATCAGAGGATGTTAATTGCTGAACTGTACTAATAGCTCGAGCTCCATTTGAAGATGCGGGGCAAACCTCTACTGGAAAAGAGTAGGCAATATTTATCTCGGATGGAATTGAGATGGTTTTGAGGCCCGAACTAGAGCCCGGAAGACGTCCTAGCTGTTGGTATTCATGTGGAATATATAATGCTTGATTTTTTATAACAGAGTAGTTCTGGTGATGAGAAGGTATTTGCCCTGCTTGATGCCTCCGGAAAAGGAATGGCTGAGCAAGCTGCGTTTGGGGTAAAGAACAGGACTGCCGGTAATCACATTTCATTCGGTTGCATCGAAAGTGATTGACAGTGGGATCACAGTTTGGACGTAGTTCAGACAGCGGATAGGGAATACGATCTGCATAAGTTGCATCAGGGTTAGCTGCCTGCATATCTCCATTGACTGAAAGAGATGAGCCAAAGAGGAGTGCAGAGTGGTTAGTGTTTAGTTGGGCTCGCATAAACGTCTGGCAACCGGGAGCACCGATAGATGAGCTAATTGAAAGCGCAGTTATGGGTGAGTGAGTACGCGAAAAAAAGTTACGTGAAGAACAATACTCCTTGTTCAGGAATAAATGAGGACTATGCTGAGTATGTTGCTGCTGTTCTGAAAAATGACAGTGTGTACGGTGGTTCAACGAGGAAGGACCAATAATTGAAGACCAAGGGAACTGCTTCATGTGACTGAGCCCAGGTGATGTGGGTGTTGAGATTGCGATAGTATTAACGGCAAATTGAGCCGATGATAATTTAGGAATAAGGCCACTGGAGCCTGTCGATCCTGTGCAATGATTAGGGCTTTCAGCTTCAAGGCTGCTCTCGATATCCTGAATAATAGAGCTATCCGTCTGGAGAGACAAAAAAACAGATGTGAATGTATTTACGCACACTTGCGGACTAGAGTTAAACACATAATTGTCATGACAAGATAGGAAGATACGTGGATTTATATTTGAATACTTATCTTGGAAGCATTAATATTTTATGAGCTTTAAACAGTAAGCAATATGGGAAAAGATTAAGTTGTATAAAATATACAAATATCATTAGACTATATATAATATATCACCATTAATATAGTCTTATTATAAAGGCCATTTAAGAAGATAAAATCTTGAAGCTTCGATCGAGAAGATAAAATGTAGAGGTTGATAGCCGTATGGAAATATTTATGCAAAACGTTAAATAAGAGTTGGTTTATTACGCTCTAACTACAAGCTCGATTCAAATCAATTTCTAGTAGCATTCTGAATTACTAAGAAAAATCCTTTGGAAAATAAATTTGTAGGAAACGTGCAAAAGATTTAATGTTTAAGTATCAAGATATATAGCGCAAAAACAATTTTGTGCATGCATCCTTGCTAGCTT